TCCTCTTGCTCTTGCCTTTCCTCAGCTTTACAGGATTGCTTCGGAGGCCTTGGTGGTTAACTGTTATCATCTTGATAATGGGAGACTGGTTTGGGATGTTCGATTCAGGCGTTCCTTTCAGGATTGGGAGATTGATGAGGCAATTCGTCTCTTGGAGTTGTTATATCGCCAGAGGATTGTGGTGGAGGATTTGGATTGTTGGTATTGGGTCGCAAACTCCAAGGGGCGTTTTGAGGTGAGGTCTTTCTTCAAGTGCCTCTCTTTTGATCCTGGAGTTCGTTTTCCTTGGAAGTCTGTTTGGCGTTCTAAGGCTCCTCTCAAAGTGGCTTTCTTTGTGTGGACTTCGGTTCTGGGTAGGATCTTAACCCAAGATAATTTGAGAAGGAGAAGCCAGGTGGTGGTCAATCGTTGTTATATGTGTCTTCGGGATGAGGAATCTGTGGATCACCTTCTTATTCATTGCTCTTTGGCTAGAGAGTGTTGGGATTTGATGCTTGGCTTATTTGGGTTTTATTAGGTTATGCCAGGATCTACTAGAGAGTTGATTGAGATGTGGAGAGGTTGCCATGTGGGGGCTCTCAGGCAGGATGCGTGGAGAGCTACGCCGCTTTGTGTGTGGTGGTGGTGTATTTGGCTTGAAAGGAATAGGAGATACTTTGAAGGAAAGGCGATGTCGATTTCGGTGCTTAAATTCTCGATTATTTCAACTCTTTTTTGTTGGGTTTCAGGGAGAGATCATAGATCGTTGGGGGAAATTGTTGATTTTTTGGCCTCTATGAAGGCTTGAGTCCTTTGTGCTCTTTTGTTTTCCTTGGGTTTCGCTCCCCTCTTGAGCGTCTTTTAATAATATTCTTTTATTTATCCAAAAAAAAAAAAAAAAATTATACAACTTTGAAATTTGAATAACAAAGTAGATTTTCATACTATCAGCCCTAATAAAACAGTACCATTTAGTTTGCTTAAAAAAACCGTTTTTGTCCAACTGGGACTTTTTTTTCCCCCTCTAATCAAAATTGTTCTTTCCATCAACACGACCAACTCCTTACATGCTTCATGTGACCCCGGAAGGTGTTATTTCAGCTGAAGGCATTCCTCCCACAAACCCCAAGTGGTAATTTTATTTTGCGGACAATTGGTGATTGATCGTTCAACTCTCAGCTATAATTCGAGCATATGCTATTACAGACCCCGTCACATACCCACACACAAAATGTCTGGACTTTTGATAAATCCTTATTTTCCAACAATCACATATCCTGGAGGAATGGATTAACACTGAAGGCTCTGATATTTCTGAATACAAACAGTTCAAACTAGACTTAGAGGGGTTCAGGGGAGTGAGCAGGTTTTATGGATACTTTTTCCAAATAACTAGCTTTTCAAATTTCAGTTAATTGTTTTTTTTTAAAAGTCAAATTTCAGTTAATTGTTGTCCAATTTTCAGTTTAATTAGTTATCCATGTGTCTCGATGACAAATATTGAAACACATAGAATGGTAAAAATAATGTAAAATAAAGATAACTTTTGCATAGAAAACCCTGTAAAGGAAAAAACCATAGGTTACTTGGTCCAGGCATGAACAATTCAATGTAGAGAATCTTCCTGCCTACTTCATGTCCCTTTTCCCGGGTTCAAAGATTAGATGAGATTCAGAAGAAGTTTTTGTGGGGTGGTATGGATGGTGAATTTAAATACCACTTGGTTCCTGTCAAAAAGGGAGGTTTGGGGATTCGAAGGTTCTGCCTATTCAACAAGGCTTTGCTGGGCAAATGGCTTTGGAGATTTGGAAGCGAGAGATCCAGATTATGGAGGAGGGTCATTGCTTGTCGATGCGGGGAGGGGGATGGAGGCTGGTTGTCTAGGGAGGTGCAGTCTCCAGCGAGTGTGGGTATTTGGAAGCTTATCCAGGAGGGTTGGGATGAGTTCTCCAAACGAATTCGGTTCAGAGTAAGGAGTGGGAGGCACGTCAGGTTTTGGGAGGACTATTGGCTCGAAGGTTCCCTCGGCTTTTTGAGGATCTTGACAAATATGCATGCTATGGTGGCTGACCATTATTGGCTTGATAATGGGCAGACGACTTGGGATGTTTTGTTTCGAGGAGAGGTGCATGATTGGGAACTGTCAGAGGTTTATGAGTTCTTTGCGCTCCTCTACACCCAGGTGGTGGAGGTTGAGGGTTATGGATGAGATGGTGTGGATGGGTACCCCTGGAGGGATTTTTGGGGTTAGGTCCTTCTGCAAGAGCTTGGAGGAGACCCCAGGCTAAACTTCCCTTGGAAGGCAATTTGGAGAACGAAAGTCCCCTTGAAGGTGGCTTTTTTCACTTGGACAACTGTTGTCGGAAGCATTCTTACTCTCGACTACCTTAAAAGGAGACGACATATAGTCGTGGAGTGGTGTTGCATGTGCAAGAAGATGGAAGAGTCACTGAACCACCTCCTTCTTCATTGCCTGGTGGCGAGGGATGTGTGGTCTATGTTCTTGGTTAAATTTGGCGTGGTTTGGGTATTTCCTATGTCCATGGTTGACATATTAGAAGCTTGGAGAGGGGTGAAAGTAATAGAAGATCCTTTGATGGAGAGGATCCCCCTATTTGGTCTCTCAAATACAACATTCTTTCTACTTTATTCTTTTGGGTGAATGGGACAAATTGTAAATCTTTGGGGCATCTTTTGGACTTAGTTAATAGCTTGAATTTTGTGTCTCCTTAGGTGTCTTTTGTGTTCCTTTGGGAGCGCCCCCCTCTTGAGCGTCTTTTATGAAATCTTACTTAAAAAGGAAAAAAAAAGGTTACCAACTAACCCAAGAATCCCCTAGTTTCATCTTTACCCAGACTCACACTAAATGATCCTCCTTGGACTATGCTACTGCCAATCAACAAGCTTGATGACCCCCAAGTTTGCTCTCAATGGTTGTACAGATTTGTGTTATTTGCAAAATCACTCGGTTGGAGAATAATTTTTGATGTACTGTTGCTTTAATTCTCTCTCATATGTAATATGAGTCTTATGAAAACCCTGCATTGATTCTCAAAGCTTACATAAAATCAATAACGAATATTTAGAGGTTAAAAAATCAATAACTAATATTTAGAGGTTAAAAAGATACCCTAGACTGACTACAACCCCATATTTATGCCAATACGAGTTATATCTGAAATAGAAGAGTTAAACCAATTAATATTCTGTCTTCGGACGGTTCCCAAATAAGTTTAATCTCAATTGATTGATCAATTGAATAAACTTGTTCCAGTGACCTTCAAGCATTTTATCCTGAAAGGTTGAATGATCAACCTATTAGTTGAAGTGCACTGGAGTAGTTTTGAGTGATCAACATTTCACCCGAATCTCATTGCTTTTCCAACAAATTTCTTGGCAAAAATTTGATCAATCCACCAATTTTTTGATCGATTGATGAGCTTTGGCTTTGCTTGGACTGATGGAATTGGATGGAGAAAAAAAGAAAAATGAGGGATTAATGAACTCCTCAAATTGTATATTTACTATCAGGATTTGAAGAGAGAGGATAGACATTTAATGAAACTTCAAAATACCAAAATAGCCTTAATTGTAAGGAAGAAAAAAGTTGCCTTTTGCAATGAGATAATTGTCATCTTTTTAGATCATTTCTTTTCTTTTCTCTCATTTCTTTTTTTTTTTTGTGTCTAAAACATTAATTTGAGCCATTTAAAGATCAAACCTAGGTCATGGGAGTGTACAACTAGTTAGTAAGACATTCCAACCTAGATCTCTATGTTCACTAATGTCTCACTTTATCATTTCGTAAATCGTAAATAAGTGATTGATCTTGAGAGATTCTCATCATGTTCATTGCTGCTATTCATCTTCGTCGCCTTTTGTTGTAGACCACGATTAGACATTTTGTATGTTTTTTTTTTTTTTTTCTCCAGTAGACCATATTATAAATAATTTTTAATATCTAATGCGGTGACGGATCATTACGTGGTACTATTAGTGATTATCTTTTTCAGTGATGTAGTTAATAGTTTTCATTGATCATAGTCGAATTACTATTAATTGATAGGCTATCTTTCTATTTCCAATGTATGCTACTTTAACCATCTGGCTAATGTGTTCATTTCTAATATTATGTTTTCTTTCCATTTAGTCTTTACTACATTTTCATTCCGTGCACGCTCATTTAAATATGTTGTATCTTAATTCAATATTCTGTCCATAAAATATGATTGGTCTAGTAAGTGTTTTACACAATATTACAATTTAATTTTCAATTTTAGAGTTACACTTCGATCACATAATAACCTTAAGCAACTAATGAAATTTCTGCTCAACAGTATATGCATAATATTTTTTTATTGATATGCAAAAATTTTAAACCTGAAGAAACAGAATCATACAAAAGCAGTTTGAAATAATGGAATGCAGGTGCTTGTTTTTGTGATCCCTCTTCCTCTATTTATTTTTGTTCTTGGATTAAGATTGAATTTACACCATCTGTCTATGGTGACCATAATTCACTATTATATGGCCGGCCTTTATTTGAATATTCATTTTTAAAAAGTTGTAGGAAACGACTCCTTTGATGTTTGCATGCTTATTTGCTTTTGCAATCGGACATAACTAAATTATGTCAGCTGCTTTGATGTTGTTTGCATGCTTATTTCCTTTAATAAGCCTGTACATAGTTCGGTGGCAGAATCTACAAATTCTTTAAGATCCAAGTGTCTACTGTTATTCTTACATAGCTGTCTTGCATCTCACACTTTCTCTCTGGTTTAATTTGTTGAGAAGTCTGTCAGTCATTTTTATAAGGTTTTCAGTGCTCTTTAGCTCTCTTAAGTGGGTTTCTATTCTTTATTCTGTCTCTCCCTCAGCCATGCTTTGTATTTTCTTGGTTGTTTGGCTTTCTAGAGCACACTCCATTTCTATTTCCCCCAATGTCCAATTACACAAAAACGAGAGAAAACAATGTGTCCGGATTTGGATTATCTTTGTTGACATGTTGAATTTCTGAGCAGGGGTTAAAGATGCAAGCGATAAGAAAATTTTAGTTGATATGCTGTTCTGGGCTGTGGACAATCCTGCCCCTGCAAATTATTTACTGATTTCTGGTGATAGGGATTTCTCTAATGCACTCCATCAGTTGCGCATGAGGAGATATAATATCCTTCTAGCTCAACCACTAAAAGCATCTACCGCTCTCATTGCGGCCGCAAAGAGTGTATGGCTGTGGATGAGCCTAGTTGCTGGAGGATCCCCGCTTACCTGTGCTGAATCATCACAACTTTCTATTAGTACAAATAATGAAATGTTGCGGAACCCTTCTTCCAACCCTGATCAAATTGATCAACCTGCATATTCCAACTCCGGAAGTCTTTACTTGGTAAATCAGAAGTTCAGTAATCCTGGAAGAGTTGGTGAAAGTAAATATAAAGGGAAATACATTTTGAAAGACCCAACTCAGCCCAGCAAAACAGCTTCAAGTGGCCCAGTTGAGATCCAAGGAATTAAGAATGATGACTGCTCTCAGCTGCCAGATAATGCACCAGGAAAGATTTTTAAGAAAGCTCCTCACGAATTTTTTGGTGCTAGCAAGCCTGTCATCTCTGAAAGTAGGTCTGCCCCCAATTTATTTTCTGTCAATCTTGAGTCTTCAGGGAACAATTGCAGTAATTTTGCGGAAATTTCAAAAAATCAATTTCCTCAACCTCGACCAGCCCTCAATTTATTTTCTAGCAATCTTGAATCTTCAGGGAACAATCGCAGTAATTTTGCGGAAATTTCAAAAAATCAATTTCCTCAACCTCGACTGACTTTTGCAACAGACAACTGGTTTGAACCAAATTCACGTAACAAAATTTTCCATCCTATGCCTCCTAAATCTGATGGTTTTAGATTTTCGTCCGCCCCACTTGCAAATATGTCTGATATTGGTAGGCTTACCATGTCCGAATACCCCAACTATTCTCAGAATATTCCAAATTTTAATCAAAGATTTGAGTCCCCAAACTTAACCTACAAAAATATACCACAGAAAAGTGATATTCTGCAGCCGGGCCAGCCATTTTACCATGATACTATGAACAATAGGTATCCTCGTGGTCCTGAGTTTCCAGTCCCTTTGCCATCCTCAATGGTTGCTAATCCTGTTTCTGGTAATGGTTTCTGGGGAACTCAAGGATGTCCACAACCATATATTCAAGGCCTTATAGGGGTTATCTTACTTGCCCTAAATTCCTTAAGAGTTGAAAAGATTTTGCCTACTGAAGCAAACATAACCGATTGCATTCATTATGGTGATTCAAAACACCGCAATATTGAAGTGAGGAAGGCCCTGGATTGTGCAATTGAGCAACATATGATAGTTAAACAAAACTTAGGTGCGGTGCAGCTGTATCTTGGTAAAAATGAGAAAGTATGGAAGTGTGTGAACCTCCTTGGGGGTAATCCTAATCAGTACCCGAAGCCAACATGGAATGGAATTCAGAAATTTCTGTCTTCTGCTGCTGGACGTTCAGCAATAATGGCTTCTAAATGCAGGTCTATTTTCTTTTGTTATTGTTTATTTTTTTATTTTTTATTTTGGCTATTTTCATTTTCTGGAACTTTATGTTGGCTGCAAACCACTTCTTATGTTATTCTATCTGCTATATAGGTATGAAGCAGCTTTGATTCTGAAAAATGCATGCTTAAGAGAGCTCGCTTTGGGCAATGCACTCCAGGTCTTAAACATGATAATCACTGTGAAGAGGTGGATTATACATCATCAGTCGGGATGGCAACCAATTACTATTACCCTGGCAGAAACTAATACTGAGACAGGTATGGGGATAGGTGCTTGATTCAATCAATCATGGTGATGAAGTGGCCCAAAGTTGGTTACGGCTGCATAATATGATGTTAGTTCATTAGATTTTGGGGAAAGTTAAAGGAATGTGGGTCACTTGTTGAAAATACTATAATTACAGTGTGTTACATCTATTCAAGAAGGTAAGTTTTAGATGCAAATCAATTAGGGATAGTGTATTGTTTTTCTTTTTTGTGTACTTGGGGATACGTGTGGGTAAGCAAAGGAAGAGGAACATTTGTTTGGGGCAAGATCACACTATTTTCTTTGAGTGGAGAACTGGTCTAAGCTGTTTTCTGCACCCTAGGTCAGTATTGCAAATCTAGGGCATATCTGCGTATGTGGTTTCTATCTGCCACGAGTTATCCATTAGATGTTTCAGTTCTTTGTATTGGTAGGTGGGGATAGGCCCTAAACGTAGCTTTTACTCTGTGGAATACCAGAGAAGTGCATTGGCAGGGACAGTTGACGATCTGTGTTTTTTTTCAGCATATACATTCACTAGCAAGTTATGTTTCTAAGGACTAGTTCCAGGTATATACAGTCTGAAAATGCAGCCATCATGTTTTTGTTGCTGATTTGTAATGTTTACGAGCTGTGGAGATTTGTCTGATGATGCTGAACTAAGGCTTCTGTTATGTCCATTTATTCTACATGGTGGTGCTAGTCTGCAGGAAAAGATTGAAGCAACTATGTTGTAACCATGACAGCCTTCTTTTATGTTGATGACAGCAAGATTGAGCTGGAAGGGTACTGTTTTTGTGTGGTCAAGATCAATAAAGTACAAAATATTAATAGTACCTTGCTATACATTAGTGAGCATGGAAGATATATGTAAACCTGCTATGCAAATGAAGCTTTGTCCCAACATTTTGAAGTTTGAATCTTTTGTATTCAAAAACTTGTTTTCAGGAAAAGTATTTTCCTTAATGGTTTCTGTGTGCTAGTAGTTCTATTACTTTACCAAGTTGTGTGTTCAGGTTATTTTGGTACTGGGAATTATGTATATTTGTATCAGGATAAGTTCAAGGACATTAAAGAATCTACCTTTTCATATATTTGAATTTGTGGAGTTAATTTTCTTGCATGAATTTGATGCTTGGTAGCGAGGGACTTAACCTTGCTCTATTTATACTGTACTACTACTAGAGGAGAGCTGCTCTTTGTTAATTGACATTTCTAAAGAATTGTTGTGAAGCTTTGCGAGGGACTTACCATGTTTGTTAATATTTTTATAAAAAGAATTATATTTAAGAAAATATTGTAGTCTACTAGTTGTATCCATTTTTTATTTTTCAAATATTTTTAATAAAATTGATGGGAGCCTTTATTTGGAAAAATGGACAATGGAACTCATTAGTTAGACACTCCTACTTCACTTGAGGTTACATTGCATTTTGGGGTCCCTGGCGATCTTGCAGTAAGTAGTCTTTGTAATCATTTTGTGCGACTCTATGGACTCCGCAGTTTGTGTTGTGTCACTAGTTAAGAGTTTCCTTGGCAAGTTCTATAATTGTAGAAGGCACGACGCCTTTCCGTTTAAGGAGAGTAGATTTCGAGGACGAAATCTCTTAAGGAGGGTAGACTATGAGGTTTCTCACTTTTCTGATTTTTTTCAGGCATTTTTTGCATTTGTGTTTATTTATTTTATTGCTGAGTATGATTATTGTTATTATAGGTCATTGTACATTTCATGAGGGATATGGTCTTTGTCATGGTAAGGACATGGGAGGAATTTAGGGATGAAGGAATGATGTATTTGTCCTTTGGCATGGTTTTGTGCATGTGTCTTGTAGGCTTGACAAACAAACATTCCACTTGTTCTCTCCCTTCCTCCTCCATTGTCTTTTATTTAAGCTCCATTTTTGTGACCTTCTTGTGAGAGTTTGAAGTTGCTTTGAGAATGAAAAATGTTTCCAAAAGAGTGAGCTTCTTCATTGATGTAGAAATTAGAGACCCTCCTTCACCACTGATTTACAGATTTTTCTTTAAAAGAGGGGGTTTTGATTGTGCTTCAAAGGAAGAGCTTGCTTTTCACTTCTTCCTTATTTGGTGGTTTTGATCCATTCCTTCGGTGGTTTTGAGGTGTTTGTCTCAAGGGTTTGAGCTTCTTTGAGGTAGGATTGTCTAAACCTCACCCCCTTTACTTTTATGAAATCATTTCTATTGATTTTTGTTGAAAAAGTATGCTTAAAACTGAAACTGTGAGCCCAGGGCTCGAGCCCAAAACCTCCGGCTCGAGCCTTGCCTGCAGATTTTTGGAATTTTGCTTCCAGAGCTCTAGCCCAAAACATCCGGCTCGAGCCCTGTTTTTGCAGATTTTCTGTATTGCGACCTTAACTTCAAATGACTATAACTTCTTAATTTTAGACTCAAATTGGGTCATTCTTGAGTCTAAACTGACCGGCTCGAAGTCATCCTTCCAATGGTACCAACCCCAGCCACAGATTCCATTTGTGGAGAGAGTTATAACCTCTTTAGTGCAGACTACTCCAGGAAATAAAAATTATATATTCTTTATGTGTTGACGCAATACTTGTAAATTGTTACTTGCTGAGCATGTCCAAGATGATTATGTATTATATGGGATGGGTGGAACTACATGCTTAATTAATACATGTTTAAATGCAAAGATTGAAGGTGACTTGATAGACATGACACGTTTATGTGTGATTATAGCTTCATGTGAGCATATTGTAACATTATGAAAATTGAAAATTGAAAATTTCTTATGTGGTGATGTGTATACTTGGAAAATTGTATTTTTACTGAATTTTATCAATGTGATTGCAAGCTTTGTATGTAGAGGAAAACATGCTAAAGTGTGTATGTTTTAATGAAATTGCTAAAGGTGCTTATGTGTTAGGTGTGGTGAATGAACTTACGTGTTAAAGTTGAACATGTTACATGTGAATGTTATGCATGATATGAGGTAAATTTTATGAGAACTATTTCTTCAAGAAAGCATGTTATAATATTAAGAAAATTTCCATGACATAATGTTCCACTGTGGTGTTGAAACTGAATTCTTATTGTTGTAATATTTTGTTATCATGTCGTTATATGATTCAAGTAACACATTGTTGGTCATGCATGTAATGACCTGGTCATTTTCCTTTATTTCCTTTTTCCTCAAATTTTACGGATAATTTTTTTTTTTCTGTTGTCTTTTCTTTTTTGCGTTTGGTTTCTCGTCACTTATTGTCGTCTTGAGTGCTCGGAAATGGTTTCCGAGACTCTTTCCTTTGGATTGACAACTTCCCTTAAGGACCGAGTCATTTCCACATTTTCACTTTTTGGACGCTATTCATTTTTCGTCTTTTTCCCGTTTGTCACTTTGTTGGCATAACCTCACTTTTCGTGTTCGGATTTGATTCCGGTTTTGCATGCATCCACGACATTTAAATTCCATGCTATGTGTATTTTTACTTTTATAGAAAAGTATGCTAGTTGCTTAATTTTTCGTAAAAGGGCATGAATGCATGATTTTTTAGAAACATTTTTGATTTTTAGGGTTTTAGTGTTATTAAATAAAGTAATTATTTTTGTTTTGAGGACCACTTTGCAATTAAGTTTGCAAGATATTTAGAGGAGGGACCTACTTTGGGATTATGTTATTAAAGAAGGGTTTTTGTTCAATTGACCAAGAGTAGTGTGTGTTGACCATGGTGTAGGATCACATAGTAAGTGGAGGGTTTCTAACTCCTCCACTCACACCTTATCATATCATTTCCTCTTCATCTTCCTCTCCACAAATCCTAGCCACCATTAGAGGAGCTCGATGCTTAGGCTTTGAAATTGACTTTTGAGGCCCTTCCACTCACCTTTGACCATGAAGCTTGGAATACAAAACCTTGCATCACCTTCCTCTACATAACCCTAGAAGGGTTTACCATTTTGAGCTTGCTTGCCTTGGATTCTAGAGAGACACTTCTCTAGTGAGGTTGTGGGTGTTCTAGTTTATTATCTAAGTGAATTAATTGCTTTTGTAGTGATATATAAGTTGTATGCATGTCTTTTATTAATTTAAGAAATTAATGATTAATTGTAGCTTGCCTATAACTCACTTTAGACTTGGTATATGGCATAGCCATGACTTGATCTTTGTTGTATATTAATTGGGATAATTTAAATGAGTTTTCAAATCTAAAAATTTAATAAATTTAATTTGATTTAAATTCTACTTAATTGTACCTTTTTTGTATTCGATTTTAAACTTGATATATAGCATGACCATGACTTAATCCTTATTATATATTAATTTGGGATCATTTGAATAACTTTTGAGATTTAGAGATTTAATTAATTCAAATTAATTAAATTCTACGTGATGATACCTTGCTCATTTTGTACTTTTGATTTGAAATATGTAATGACCATGCTATATTATTTAACATATATTAATTTGAGGTTATTTGGAATTGATTTGAAATCTAGAGAATTTAATTATTTTTATTTAATTAAATTCTAGTTGTTTCTATGTTTAAATCATGAACTTGGACTTGCTGTATATTCACTTAGTTACGTATTGAGCATTGGATAACATAGTTGTTATATTTATATTCAGGAGAACTTGTTTCCTTTATTGAATATATTGTTGTCTTGTGTAATGAGTTGCACACTTTGTATTTAATATATTTTATGCCATAGTAGTTGTGGACTTATAGCATGTATTGTGTGTGCTTCCAAATTTGGTTGTGCATGGTAGATAATTGATTATCTTGTATATACATATTGATACATACGTTGTTGTACAACTTGTTGATTTTGGAAACTTAGGATGTCGTTGTTTGACTAAGGCTGGGGCATGGTTCTAGTACGGGGGATTGTCCCCCTATAGTTTAGTGCACACATAGGGAAGTTACCCGTGGGTAGTAATCCTAAAGTAACCACGTTATTGGTCTGATCTGGCGTGATGTCCGAGTATCCACCTTGTTTGATTTCGCATTTCATTTCAAGTTGATAACTAGATGATGTTATAACTTTTTGTTCCTTATTTGATTTCCCATTTTAAGTTTCAAGATGTTAACTTTGAGAAATCATGCTTAATGCATTGTATTGGAAGTTCCAATGTTAGTTGAATTGCATCAATATTGTGATTTGTGTTTTATTGTTCTAATGTAGCCTAGGATGATTCCTTAGACTTATTTGGAACATAGACGTTAGGTGACATGAGCCATTTTAGTTGATTTCGTATTTTAGATTTCAAGTTGATAACTTCGATGATCTATATCTAGTTGCGTTGTATAGTATGCTTCTATATTGTTTAATTGCATAAATGTTGTAGTTTATGATCAGAATGCTTTAAAGTAGCTTAGGATGATTCTTGAGTCTCGCTTATGACATAGACGTTAGGTGGCATAATCCTTTTGAATGGTTTCAAGTTAATATAATAACTTTGTAAAACGTTAGGTCTTTGCATCCTCATTCCTTACGAGTAACTTGTTTATTCATCCCAAAGTTATCGGGTGATTTTTCAGGTATGGATGCCTTAGTTTGGGATGCACAATATCCCTAGATCATGTCATTGGATCGAAGTTCATTTAAATGCATTATTGTTCACATGTAAGCGTTAACATATTTGATTTTTACCTTTTAAAGTTGTCATGCATAGTTAAGACAAAAATGTCATTTTTGCCTTGGACTTGTAATGTGTGCCTAAGCACACTTTTTGACACTTATTTCATGTATAGGATATGTGGTCAAGGGCCAAACTTCATTTGAAATCCATGAATACCCATAATGTTGAATTTTGCCTTTAATGAGAAAAGTATGAAAATTAGGGTTTTAATATGTCATTTTTGTACCAGAGCGTACATTGTGTATGAAATTCATCATTTGGCATTCATTTACCATGTATGAGGTGTGGCCAAGGGCCAAACACCATTTTGTTTTATGTTTTACATTCTTGTTTCATATTTTGCATTTTT